GTTAAATATTAGGGGGTAAATTTTTTGTTGACTGTATGTGCATTAAAAAATCTAGGTAGTTTAAACAAACAGTATTCAGAATTGGATAGTCAAAGCCACCAGAGAGTGTGTGCTATAAATAATTTTTCTTCTTCTTCTTCTTCTTCTTATTGACTTTGATCGGCAGGTCCCAACCGTGGCGACATCACAACCACTCTGTGACCTTGAACGCACAAGACGCAGCTCAGCATCAGAGCGTGGCACCCACTCCTAGAGGGCTGTCGTCGCTGGGTGCCGGCTCGGAGCTGAGAGGGGTTGCTAAGCAACTGGACCCTGACTCGTCACCATACTTCCCTCAGGCGTCCATTACGATGACTTCAACCCAGCTCACGTTTACTCAGGGCACGGCTAGAGGTGAGTTCGTGTTGTGTGTGTGTGTGTGTGAGAGAGAGAGAGAGAGAAGGAGAGCTCACGTTTACCCAGGGCACGGCTAGAGGTGAGTTTGTGTTGTGTGTGTGTGTGTGAGGGAGAGAGAGGGAGAGCTCACGTTTACCCAGGGCACTGCTAGAGGTGAGTTTGTGTTGTGTGTGTGTGTGTGTGAGGGAGAGAGAGAGAGAGAGAGGGGGAGAGCTCACGTTTACCCAGGGCACGGCTAGAGGTGAGTTTGTGTTGTGTGTGTGTGTGTGTGTGAGAGAGAGAGAGAGAAGGAGAGCTCACGTTTACCCAGGGCACGGCTAGAGGTGAGTTTGTGTTGTGTGTGTGTGTGTGTGAGGGAGAGAGAGAGAGAGGGAGAGCTCACGTTTACCCAGGGCACGGCTAGAGGTGAGTTTGTGTTGTGTGTGTGTGTGTGTGAGGGAGAGAGAGAGAGGGAGAGAGAGGTAGAGAGAGAGAGTGTGCTATAAATAATTTATTTGTTGAAGATCACTTGGTGGTCTAAAATCGATAAGAGTAGGCTTCGGCCGCCACCCGGGCAAAATTCAAAACTTCCTATCAACTTCTTTTGTATGTTTGTCACACTCTTGTGACCCGCTTTTTCTGGGGTGCCTTGATAGTCAAAGCAGACTTTTTGCTGTTGAAGCTAGAGAGGTGAGCAGAGTAAGTCTGATTCTCTGTAAGGACTTCTCTGTTGACACCCGCCCCTTGGCGCTCATATGACCTTATGCAGTTGCGAGCGCCGTAAAACCCTCTACTAAATAAAAAAAAGACTTACTGTGTTTGACTGCAATATGTCGGCCAGGTTTCTTCAGGCTGTGGGAACTGCTATTGTTTTCTTTTCAGTTTGGTGGGTGGTGTGGTGTGGTTTGTTCCTTTCTTTCCTATCAAAAGTCTGCAGTCCTTACTTCCCCTCTGTCTTTCCTATCAAAAGTCTGCAGTCCTTACTTCCCCTCTGTCTTTCCTATCAAAAGTCTGCAGTTCTTACTTCCCCTCTGTCTTTCCTATCAAAAGTCTGCAGTTCTTACTTCCCCTCTGTCTTTCCTATCAAAAGTCTGCAGTTCTTACTTCCCCTCTGTCTTTCCTATCAAAAGTCTGCAGTTCTTACTTCCCCTCTGTCTTTCCTATCAAAAGTCTGCAGTTCTTACTTCCCCTCTGTCTTTCCTATCAAAAGTCTGCAGTTCTTACTTCCCCTCTTTTTTTTCTTTGTATGTTGTTTTTTTTTCTCTGGTAATAACTCTTTGATCTCTGGCTTTTATACGACCTAATTGTGCAGTAAGTGCTGTAAAACTTTTAAAAAACTGAAACTCTTCTGTTTCCGTGGGTGGTTGGCGGGTGCTCTGGTGTGGTTTGCTTCTTCTTTCCTATCAAACATCTATCGTCCTTATCTCTACTCCTTCTTTTTTATGTTTGTTACTTTCTTGTAACACCTCTTATCTTCTGGCGCTCATATGACCTTATGCAGTTGCGAGCGCTGTAAAACCTCTACTGAAACTAAACTTGTGTTTCCGTGGATCTGTGAGGACTGACACTGTTTCCCCCCATCTGTTTCTTCCCAGCCCCTGAGAGCATGCGGGCCCCGACAGCTTGCCACCAGACCTGTTTCCACCCCCACAACCCCGGCCCCAGCCCTTTCTTCACCCACATGCCCAGCGGCTGCTCCCACCTGCCCCCGGGCCACGACCCCCGCATGACCTCTGTCCAGCCTCCCCCTGACATGGGCGGGGGTCAGGGCGCGGGACCGTTCTACGTCCCGGTGGGTGGTGTGGTGAATCCGCAGCAAAGACCGCCCACCGCACACCCACAATCCCAGCACCCATCATCCGCTGGTATGAACCCAGCGCCCATGTTGAGGCCTGGTGCCCCCCCACCTCCCCCTCCCCCTCCCTCAGTGCTGCCCCACCCCCACCCCCACCCCGACCACCCTCACATGCTACACCCCGGCGCGGCGACACCCTCCATGCACGGCATGGGTGTACCCCCCCACCTCCCCACCGTCCTCCCCCCTCACATGACAGACTTGAGACCCCCTGATTCGGCGGTGGCGGCGGCGGCCATGTTGAACGCTCCCTCAGCTCCCAGCAGACACTGCTCCAACTGCCAGCTGGACCCGAACCCCGGAGGCCCGTGTGTGCCGGGGTGGGGAGTGGAGGGTGTCCCCGGCTCTATCAAGACGGCCGACGGACTGATGGTGCCCTACCCTGTACAGGTAAGCCTCACAGGAGACCAGCAAACCTTGTACCCTTGTGGACTTGTGCCTAAAGTAATTCATCATCATCACCACCAATAGTAGTAGTAGTAGTAGTATTATTGCTTCAGCTACGGCAATCATTCTCAGAACTCATCCACAAGATGTAGATTTGTGTACTTAAGTCTGTGGACATACATATCTCACCCATTTTTGTCCTCATTTATTTTCACAGAAATGTTTCTGTTGCGACCGTTCATTTACTGTTGTTGAGGGTGTTGCTTCGGTCTTTTTGACATCGTAGTAACATGCAAATCTTTTTGACATCGTAGTAACATGCAAATCTTTTTGACATCGTAGTAACATGCAAATCTTTTTGACATCGTAGTAACATGCAAATTTTTTTGACATCGTAGTAACATGCAAATCTTTTTCAGCCATTTTTGCCCTTAATACATGTATGTCCATATCATGTCTGCAGATGAGAAATGCTCAATCGGCGGATGTTTTGTTTGTGTTCTTTTTGTTTTTCACCTATTCCAAGAATACTCTGGCTGTGAGAATTTGTTTTGTGCCTATTTTACCGTGGTCCCAATTACTGCGGAGAAGCGTCTCAGCTTTTCTTGTGCCTTACTGTCGGTGAATGGGGAAGATTGTCCATCTACTTGAGCCTCTCCTTGTCTCCCAGCTCCGTCCCTGCTCTCTTACAAAAACTAATATGCATGTATCTGTACTTTGTGTAAATGTTTTAGCATTTTCAGGTCCTTTGAGTTTATGCCTGTTCTTTGTGTAAATGTTTTAGGATTTTCAGGTCCTTTGAGTTTATGTCTGTACTTTGTGTAAATGTTTTAGCATTTTCAGGTCCCGTCTCATTGTGTTTTGATATTGAAATTTGGAAACTGGTGCAATATTTTTATGTCAGGATTTGTGTGTTTGCTGTGCGGTGGCGTGGGGAATTCTTCACTGTGTGGTGACGGGCATTGTGTGTGCGTCCGTGGAGAGAGTGTTGTTTGGAAGTGTCTGTAGGATGCTGTTGTATGCTCCTGATAATTTTTCCCCACCAGATGATTTGCCGACCGACCGACTGACTGTGGTCGTATTGATGACTGACTGTGGTCGTATTGATGACTTTGTGTGTTGTTTGCTGGTCGTGCTCCCCAGCTCCCTGTGTCCTCCTCGACAGAAACTGTGATTTGACCTTATGAGTATGAGCATCCCCAGATTTCTGTTGGCTCTAGCGCGCCAGTGTTCGTGTGTGTGTTCCTTGTCTAGTGCTAGTGGAAGCTGCTCTCCTCCTTATCTCTCCTCCTTTCCCATCAAACATCTATCCCCCTTATCTCTCCTCTCACTTCTCTGTTTTCTCCCCCCCCCCCACTCTCTCTGTCTGTCTCTCGCTCTCTCTCTCTCTTGTGGAGCACCAGAAATGACAACTATGCATACAGGATACAGCTGGCTGTATATTCAATCACTTTTGCAAGCTCAGAAGACAGTGGGATATTTTGTACCCAGTAAACATGTGGTTTTTCAGCAGCTGGTATGCTCCTTGTGGAAAAGTGCCCCCTTAGTGTCCTGTTGTCAACGTATGCGACATATTCCTATTTTGTTAGTTTGCTTAAAAGATGGATATGATTTCAAGGTTAGGACCGTTTATTTTTTTCAAACACTTTGGCTCTGAAGTTCGAAGCTCATCATGGTAAAAATGTTGGCCTTATTTTTTCCACACGCATCATAAACTCTAACTCATGCTGGGTGGTAACTTGTTCACTTCTGTCTGTCTACAATAAAATAATTCAAGCTCATTCATTGATTTGCCAGTGCTCATGAAACTTTCCATGGCATTCTTGTAGGCCAGCTGCCAAACAAAAGTATAGATTTAAAAAAGAAAAGAGTCTTGATCCAGTAATTAAAAAGTTTCTTAATTTTGGACCCGCACTATTACAACCCCCCCCCCCCCCCCCAGGACTGTCTCTATCTGTAAAAGTACTTGCCCGTCTGTTGGACCATGTTTTAGAGGCATGCGTTGATAAAGAGTGGTGTTGGTGAAAATAGGTCCACTCTTGGATTTTTTAGATGTTTGCTGGAAATCACCTATTATTTTTTTTTACCCCCTTTAGGCTAATATCAAAGAAAATGTAATAGAACCTTTTTTTTTGGAAGTGGGGGGAGGGGGGGGGGGGGACTTTCTGAAGTCTTCTGCCTGTGAGCCTGTTTTTAAGAATTGGAAATAAAATTATAAGTGAAATGTTGGGAGCCAAAGTGTTGTTAAAGAGGAATAGCGTCTGTAGTTGTTTGATATTTGTAAAAAGAATAAATATGTTTGAATGAATGAACAGATACATCTGTTGACTTTCTATATATATATCATGTATGTGTCCAGCGAGTTGGACATGTGACTACACAGCTTTCATTTTCGCAGACAATCCTTCCAGCGGTAGGGGAGTCGTCCCACCAGCTTGTGGCGGTAATGCCCCAGACTGTGGGCCCCGCACCGGTCGGGCTTGACCCAGTTAACCCTGGCACCACCCCCCCCGGCACCCGGCTGGCGGCTCTTAACGCGAACGCTAGCTACGTAGTGTGGCAGCCCCTACTGGGTCCGGCCCTACCCACTTATGTTCACGTTCTCCCCACTGTGGATGACTGTGCTATAGAAGAGTGAGAGCGCTGGTTAGGGACAGTTTTTAAAAAATTAATTTTTCAGTCATTTTTTTTTTTTTGGTTGTAAGTTTGTAGCAGTCAGCAGGTTTTTTGTTGTTGTTTTTTTTAAATTTGGTATTTTTTTTCTTTTCGTGTCAGTTTTTTGAAGACGTGAAAATAAGGATTAAAATTGCAATTTTTCCCCCCCCTCCCTGTTGTTATTTTTCTGGCTGGCTTGTTGTCATGGCAACTGGAAGATGAGCCTGGTACTAAGTGTCATTCAGAGTTGAGTGCCTGTCTTTTGGTAGATAAATGTTGAGGATTTCAGTATGTCCATGGGTGCACTTGCTTAGAAGAGGTAACAGCTGGGGATTTTCTTTTTTTTTTAACTGTGGAAACTTGAGAGGAGTTAGAACTTGTCATTTTTCAAAAGGAAACATTTTATGGTTTCAATTTGTACAGGTTGTGGTATCATACTCCAGGCACAGGGTAAAATGTCCTTGTTGGAACATGTATATATGTATAGATATGTATCATGTATGAGCGTACGTGACCTATTGTTGGTTGGTGAGTGATTTTTGCATCATGGTGTTGGTAGCTCTGGCATGTTTTGTCACAATTTGGCAAGTGGACGCCGGGGACAGAAAGTTGTCCATCTTCCTTGTCTGTGTACGGTTGTGCTTCTCTGCTCTCTAAGGGTCACAGAGGTCACCCATTGTCTAGTGACCTCTGAACTATTTCTGTTCAGTGGCGTCAGTGGCCTAGTGGTTAGGCCACCGGACTCGTAATCGTGAGGTTGCGGGGTCGGTGGTTCGAGCCGCGGGCCCGACGTTGTGTCCTTGGGAAAGGTACTTTACACGAATTTTCCTCACTTCACCCCGGTGGAAATGGGTACCCGGCCATAGACAGCGAAAGATCTTGTCAGTATGTTAGTGTTTTAGCGCCTGTAAATGGCTGCTTGCACTGTATGCTTCCCAGGAAGTTGAGTTTGTTTCAGAATGCTCTCAGGTCTGCTGGGGTAATAGTATAGATTGTGAGGCGCATAGAGCTTGCTGTTGAGCGGGGATTTGCGCTATACAAATGCTATCTATTATTGTTTTTAATTTAGAAACGAGGCGGTGTCGTTGATGTTCCCAGTCGTGGCTCTGAGCTTCCCTGTGGCTGTGTCGCCGCCGACCAAAAGTTTTGTGCTTGGTGAATGTTGTCCCTCACCCCAGCCTTGTGCTGTTACGTTCTTCTCCCGTCTGTCTTTCCGAGCCGAGTCTTCCGTTGTTCTGTCTTTCTGAACTGTCCAAGTCGTCAACTGTTCTCAGTTGCGCAGGTTTTAATTCTCTGAAGTGTGCGGGAATTAATTTCTCCAAGCTGGTAAGTTTTCCATCCTTATCAAGCACTCTCACGTCTTCTATCTGTTGCAACGGTGTTGTCTTTTGTCCCTATCAAGCATTTATGTCTTTCTTCCATTCTTCCCAATATTATGTGTGTTCATCAATTTTGTCTTCTTTTCTTGCTGAACTTCCTAAGCTTCCTACATCTATCATCCTTTGTTTCTCCTATGTCGATCATCCTGTTTCGGACTCCTCGCGTTTGTTTTTTGGCAGAGCTGTTGCCGTTATGTTTTGATCAAAATTTTAAAATTTTAATTTGATCTGGCACTCCATGGAAGTCAGGCTTCTTCAATATCAGCTATCAGCAGTTTTTTCCCTCTCTCTTGTTTAGGTGTTCTCAAATTGAGCTCTTTAGTTGTTGTCCAATGTGAGGTGTTTTCGTTCAGTTGTTCCCAACTTTGCTCAGTCCCTCCCAACTCCCAAGTGCCTGATCCTTGTTGTCGTCAAGGGTTTGTCTTTCAGCTTGTCTGTCGTGTGTTTTGATGGAAGGAGATGTCTATGACGGTTACTGTGGTTACCGTGACTGTGTGTGTGTGCTTCTCTTGACTCCAGTGACATGTGTGCTCTTCACTTCTGACACACTGTCACACCACCTCCCCGTTGCCACCAGCCTCTACATTCCCATAGGTTTTGTTCCCCGTGCACATCAAATCATTTGTCCGATATGAAGTCAGCTTATGATTGGAGCTGTCTCGTTTCCCCTACGGTTGAAACTTTGATAGACAGGAGGATGAAGTGGGGGGGGGGGGGGGGGGGGGGGGAGAAGATTGTGTTTTGTTTGTAGTTTCCTGGTCAAAGTTTCCTGTTGCTTGTTGAAGCACACAAATGTATGTGCCAAAACTGACCTGTCCTTACATTTTTCGGGGCTGTTTTTGCACCACTCTTAATGTTCACTTTTTCGTTTGTGCACAAATATAACATGGAGAAAAGTGTGAGTGCTGGTGGTGATCTTTGTACCTTGTCAGATTTTGGGATGTTATTTTATGTTTGGAGACAAAGCCT